CAGTAGACGTAGCGCTAAGAGGTGATCGTAACTCCCTTACTTTAACATAGGCTTACAGTAGACGTAGCGCTAAGGTGATCGTAACTCCCTTACTTTAACATAGGCTTACGGTAGTCCTAGCGCTAAGGTGATCGTAACTCCCTTACTTTAACATAGGCTTACAGTAGTCCTAGCTCTAAGAGGTGATCGTAACTCCCTTACTTTAACATAGGCTTACAGTAGACGTAGCGCTAAGGTGATCGTAACTCCCATACTTTAACATAGGCTTACAGTAGACGTAGCGCTAAGGTGATCGTAACTCCCTTACTTTAACATAGGCTTACAGTAGAAGTAGCGCTAAGGTGATCGTAACTCCCTTACTTTAACATAGGCTTACAGTAGACGTAGCGCTAAGAGGTGATCGTAACTCCCTTACTTTAACATAAGCTTACAGTAGACGTAGCGCTAAGAGGTGATCGTAACTCCCTTACTGTAACATAGGCTTACAGTAGACGTAGCACTAAGGTGATCGTAACTCCCTTACTGTAACATAGGCTTACAGTAGACGTAGCGCTAAGGTGATCGTAACTCCCTTACTTTAACATAGGCTTACAGTAGACGTAGCGCTAAGGTGATCGTAACTCCCTTACTGTAACATAGGCTTACAGTAGACGTAGCGCTAAGGTGATCGTAACTCCCTTACTTTAACATAGGCTTACAGTAGACGTAGCGCTAAGAGGTGATCGTAACTCCCTTACTTTAACATAGGCTTACAGTAGACGTAGCACTAAGGTGGTCGTAACTCCCTTACTGTAACATAGGCTTACAGTAGACGTAGCACTAAGGTGATCGTAACTCCCTTACTGTAACATAGGCTTACAGTAGACGTAGCGCTAAGGTGATCGTAACTCCCTTACTTTAACATAGGCTTACAGTAGACGTAGCGCTAAGGTGATCGTAACTCCCTTACTTTAACATAGGCTTACAGTAGACGTAGCGCTAAGGTGATCGTAACTCCCTTACTTTAACATAGGCTTACAGTAGACGTAGCGCTAAGAGGTAATCGTAGCTCCCATACTTTAACATAGGCTTACAGTAGACGTAGCGCTAAGGTGATCGTAACTCCCTTACTTTAACATAGGCTTACAGTAGACGTAGCGCTAAGATCGCTTTGTGGAGCGGGAGCCAGAACGCAACGCATTGAAGCCTGACTTTATTGCGTGAGTCGCCCTTGTGTGATGCACGAGGAATACCTTCTCTGACGCTGTTGCACGTGCACCAAGCTCCGTCGCGAGCTGATATTTACAATGCATGGTGCACGGCTCTTCATAATATCGTGGGGTCCTTAACTAGTACTTATCCATCGCTTGAACATTGTAAGGACATATAGAGCCCTGCACAAGGATATATATCTTTACCTGATCACTTTGGTCTCGTCGAAGTTCTACTTGCTTTAAATATGAACATTGTTATAGGTAACCATCCGTAACACAACATTATATACGTATTATGTTTTAGCTTTCAGGGATTATGCAAACATTTGAAAATATTTAATAGTTAATTTCACCCCGTACCGTCGTGTGTTGCCGTAGCTGATGTCGACAATTAGACATCCTCAAATCAAACGATGCGGGTTCGAACCCCCTGTCTTTTCAAGGTGTATAATAATTGTCCATCCTGAAAGATATAGGAACGTTTGAACAATAGAATGACGTCATTGGTGTGTTTTAAGAAGGTATATCATCACAATGGGTATATCACAAGTCACGTGTATTCATACGCGGAACCAGACAGGGGATGCATCCCCTTTTTCAAACATTTATACATTTTGGAATTGTGTAGGTTAATAGTTAGTAAACCTCGTACAACACCTTGACTCATTTGATGAACCTTGCATGGTTTCAAAATTGTTATTCTTGTGAATTTCAGTTAAATCCTGAGTGTGTCGATAACGGCATCCGGATCAACATGTTGTGTCCAGCATTCGCCGACACGGCGCTTGTGGCCGACATCGAGAGCACCGCCGTCGGTTCTCCGACTGCTGCCAAGGAATTCATCGACAAAATTGGAATAATGACGTATGTTAAACCCTGCAATCATGCCATTAGGCACAAAACATAAAACCTTAAATACCGAAACCATAACCCCGCTACACATGTTTTCGTACGTCCAGTGGACCAGTGAAGATCCAGGTTAGAAGCAACCAATACTTGCCGTAACGGGCGACTGTGTTTGTCGTAAGAGGCGACTAAAGGGATCGGTGGTCAGACTCGCTGACTTGGTTGATGCATATCAGCGTATGCTAATAGCGTCGGTCGATGCTCATGATGTCAATCACTGGATTGTCCGGTCCAGAGTCGATTATTTACAGACCACCGTCATATTGCTGGAATATTGCCGAGTGCGACATTAAACAACAAACAAAAAAACAAACGTACCTCCAATATATATGACTGAAAGTTCTTGAAACCGGATGTACTGGTGAAATAATTCCTGAAATGTGCCATCAACGCAGGTCTTTTTTATTCCGCATTTCCTATTTTTCTGATTTATTATATCTTGATCATGTGAAACGTTTGATCCCTTTATGGGCACGCTTTAGTATGAGCTTGATTATAGTGAGTGAATTGGCTTTAACGCCGTTTTGAACAGTGTTCCAGTTATATCACGGCGTGTCAGCTTAATATGGGAGGGAAGCCCCAAGTGATGCAGGTCTCAGATGTTTACCATTTTGGTGAAACCCACGAGCACGGGCATGGTGCTGACAAACCTCGAAACATTATCGGAGCGAATCGGGATTGGGACCCACGATCATAAGTTTCTGGTGTGGACAAGGGACGCAACTCTGTATAGCGAACTGCGACTGAACCAGCTGGCTACCTGATTTCATTGTAACCATGATATGTCGTTGTACAGCACCATATAAACTAAGTCATCTGTTAATGCAGACAGTGTGGAACTTGTAACGAGGGGGGCGGTCGGGTAGCCTAGTTGTTAAAGCGTTCGCTCATCAAGCCAAAACCCGGGTTCGATTCCCCACATGGGTACAATGTGTGAAGCCCATTTCTGGTGTCCCCCGCCGTGATATTGCTGGAATATTGCGAAAAGCGGCGTTAAACCATCCTCACTGTCTGTGACGAAGGGGTTGTTCGTTACTTTGATTCAAGCGAATAATGTGTGTTGTACAAGAAATGTATGGCGACCCTGTCTCATTTCAGCCCCGAATATGTGGCGGAAGGATTTCTGGATCTAGTGCAGGATGAAACAAGAAATGGGTCTGTTTTGAAAATGGCAAAGACGTTCGGCAAAGTTTATCACGAATATTAGATACGCCAAACATGTCAACAGACCAACTCATTGCACCGTGGAGATGGCGGGCTAAACACGCTCTCCTGTCAGCACTGGTACAAACCTACAGTATCATGGCAACAAGCGGTAACGGAAAAAGCGTAGTAACGCATGGCAACGCTTAAACCATGGCAACATATGACACCACAATGGGACGCGTGGCTGCACGTGTATTACGTGTAATACTATGAACATCTACACTGTTACTGCCTTCATGTAAGGCAATGCACGTGCTGAGAAATATCAGTATACACGTATGTTGTTATAGCTATATTTACAGACAATTACTATGAATGTTCAATGATTCATATTCTAGATTATCATATTATCATATTACTGTCACGTTGTAACATGTGTCCATACGTATCGTCTATATATATGTGTATATGTATGTTATGGTTTTCGTTGTTATAAAGTTAACATGATACCCCTCGTATTACCTGCTTCATTTAGAGTGGCTGGTTCAGCTCTATATACACGTTGTTGGTCATTGGGGGGACGTTGCTGTACGCTTCTGATTAATATTCCATCAAATTCATAGCGGGGACACCAAGACTTGAGCTTCACACTCCATGTTCAATTGGCCTTGACCATATGTAAGAGTGATTATCATTGATTCGTGTCATATGTAACAGTGATTATCATTGGCCGTTGCCATCTGTGACACACTAATTCTCATTGGCCTTGGCCATATGTAACAGTGATTATCAATGCCTTGGCCATATGTAACAGCGATTAGCATTAGTCGTTGGTATATGTAACAGTGATTATCATTGGCCGTAGTCATATTAACAGAACGATTTTGATTGTTCAGGACTATATTTTACAGACTGATTGTCCTTGGTCGGGGCCATATGTGGCAAAGTGATTCCCATCTGTTATACTGAGTGCCGCTGTCGGTCAATATATGTAACAAACGTCATTGGCAGTTTGGTGTGATTTATAAAGGGATATCAGAATGTATTTAGTTCTCCCATAAGCTACAATCACTTCTGAATCTATAATCTGAGAGTTGAAGAAGACGGTGTCTCTAGCCAGCATGCTCCACAATATGTCCAAAGTACCACACCATTACGGTCGGATAGCTGCATTGCAAGCCCTGACTCTAACCTCAAATCATCTCTTGCACTTCGATACGTTAAGATCTGACAACAAATGTCAGGTGCACTTTCTAAGCTAGCACAACCAATCCGTGTGCCCGATAACCGTGGATGCTGGCATGGCGGTGATTGACCTTTAATGGAGAAAGGAGGTACAGGTGGTGGTCTATTATCGTGGATGGGAGGGTGGCGGTGATTGACCTTTAATGGAGAAAGGAGGTACAGGTGGTGGTCTATTATCATGGATGGGAGGGTGGCGGTGTTTGACCTTTAATGGAGAAAGGAGATACAGGTGGTGGTCTATTATCGTGGATGCTGGCATGGCGGTGATTGACCTTTAATGGAGAAAGGGGATACAGGTGGTGGTCTATTATCGTGGATGGGAGGGTGGCGGTGATTGACCTTTAATGGAGAAAGGAGATACAGGTGGTGGTCTATTATCGTGGATGCTGGCATGGCGGTGGTGGTTGACCTTTAATGGAGAAAGGGGGTACAGGTGGTGGTCTATTATCGTGGATGGGAGGGTGGCGGTGGTTGACCTTTGATGGAGAAAGGGGGTACAGGTGATGGTCTATTATCGTGGATGGGAGGGTGGCGGTGATTGACCTTTGATGGAGAAAGGAGATACAGGTGGTGGTCTATTATCGTGGATGGGAGGGTGGCGGTGATTGACCTTTGATGGATAAAGGAGATACAGGTGGTGGTCTATTATCGTGGATGGGAGGGTGGCGGTGATTGACCTTTGATGGAGAAAGGAGATACAGGTGGTGGCCTATTATCGTGGATGGGAGGGTGGCGGTGATTGACCTTTAATGGAGAAAGGGGGTACAGGTGGTGGTCTATTATCGTGGATGCTGGCATGGCGGTGATTGACCTTTAATGGAGACAGGAGATACAGGTGGTGGTCTATTATCGTGGATGGGAGGGTGGCGGTGATTGATCTTTGATGGAGAAAGGGGGTACAGGTGGTGGTCTATTATCGTGGATGGGAGGGTGGCGGTGATTGATCTTTGATGGAGAAAGGAGATACAGGTGGTGGTCTATTATCGTGGATGCTGGCATGGCGGTGATTGATCTTTGATGGAGAAAGGAGATACAGGTGGTGGTCTATTATCGTGGATGGGAGGGTGGCGGTGATTGATCTTTGATGGAGAAAGGAGATACAGGTGGTGGTCTATTATCGTGGATGGGAGGGTGGCGGTGATTGATCTTTGATGGAGAAAGGAGATACAGGTGGTGGTCTATTATCGTGGATGAGAGTGTGGCGGTGATTGATCTTTGATGGAGAAAGGAGATACAGGTGGTGGTCTATTATCGTGGATGCTGGCATGGCGGTGATTGATCTTTGATGGAGAAAGGGGATACAGGTGGTGGTCTATTATCGTGGATGGGAGGGTGGCGGTGATTGATCTTTGATGGAGAAAGGAGATACAGGTGGTGGTCTATTATCGTGGATGGGAGGGTGGCGGTGATTGATCTTTGATGGAGAAAGGAGATACAGGTGGTGGTCTATTATCGTGGATGCTGGCATGGCGGTGATTGATCTTTGATGGAGAAAGGGGATACAGGTGGTGGTCTATTATCGTGGATGGGAGGGTGGCGGTGATTGACCTTTGATGGAGAAAGGGGGTACAGGTGGTGGTCTATTATCGTGGATGGGAGGGTGGCGGTGATTGATCTTTGATGGAGAAAGGAGATACAGGTGGTGGTCTATTATCGTGGATGGGAGGGTGGCGGTGATTGATCTTTGATGGAGAAAGGAGATACAGATGGTGGTCTATTATCGTGGATGAGAGTGTGGCGGTGATTGATCTTTGATGGAGAAAGGAGATACAGGTGGTGGTCTATTATCGTGGATGCTGGCATGGCGGTGATTGATCTTTGATGGAGAAAGGGGATACAGGTGGTGGTCTATTATCGTGGATGGGAGGGTGGCGGTGATTGACCTTTAATGGAGAAAGGAGATACAGGTGGTGGTCTATTATCGTGGATGCTGGCATGGCGGTGGTGGTTGACCTTTAATGGAGAAAGGGGGTACAGGTGGTGGTCTATTATCGTGGATGGGAGGGTGGCGGTGGTTGACCTTTGATGGAGAAAGGGGGTACAGGTGATGGTCTATTATCGTGGATGGGAGGGTGGCGGTGATTGACCTTTGATGGAGAAAGGAGATACAGGTGGTGGTCTATTATCGTGGATGGGAGGGTGGCGGTGATTGACCTTTGATGGATAAAGGAGATACAGGTGGTGGTCTATTATCGTGGATGGGAGGGTGGCGGTGATTGACCTTTGATGGAGAAAGGAGATACAGGTGGTGGCCTATTATCGTGGATGGGAGGGTGGCGGTGATTGACCTTTAATGGAGAAAGGGGGTACAGGTGGTGGTCTATTATCGTGGATGCTGGCATGGCGGTGATTGACCTTTAATGGAGACAGGAGATACAGGTGGTGGTCTATTATCGTGGATGGGAGGGTGGCGGTGATTGATCTTTGATGGAGAAAGGGGGTACAGGTGGTGGTCTATTATCGTGGATGGGAGGGTGGCGGTGATTGATCTTTGATGGAGAAAGGAGATACAGGTGGTGGTCTATTATCGTGGATGCTGGCATGGCGGTGATTGATCTTTGATGGAGAAAGGAGATACAGGTGGTGGTCTATTATCGTGGATGGGAGGGTGGCGGTGATTGATCTTTGATGGAGAAAGGAGATACAGGTGGTGGTCTATTATCGTGGATGGGAGGGTGGCGGTGATTGATCTTTGATGGAGAAAGGAGATACAGGTGGTGGTCTATTATCGTGGATGAGAGTGTGGCGGTGATTGATCTTTGATGGAGAAAGGAGATACAGGTGGTGGTCTATTATCGTGGATGCTGGCATGGCGGTGATTGATCTTTGATGGAGAAAGGGGATACAGGTGGTGGTCTATTATCGTGGATGGGAGGGTGGCGGTGATTGATCTTTGATGGAGAAAGGAGATACAGGTGGTGGTCTATTATCGTGGATGGGAGGGTGGCGGTGATTGATCTTTGATGGAGAAAGGAGATACAGGTGGTGGTCTATTATCGTGGATGCTGGCATGGCGGTGATTGATCTTTGATGGAGAAAGGGGATACAGGTGGTGGTCTATTATCGTGGATGGGAGGGTGGCGGTGATTGACCTTTGATGGAGAAAGGGGGTACAGGTGGTGGTCTATTATCGTGGATGGGAGGGTGGCGGTGATTGATCTTTGATGGAGAAAGGAGATACAGGTGGTGGTCTATTATCGTGGATGGGAGGGTGGCGGTGATTGATCTTTGATGGAGAAAGGAGATACAGATGGTGGTCTATTATCGTGGATGAGAGTGTGGCGGTGATTGATCTTTGATGGAGAAAGGAGATACAGGTGGTGGTCTATTATCGTGGATGCTGGCATGGCGGTGATTGATCTTTGATGGAGAAAGGGGATACAGGTGGTGGTCTATTATCGTGGATGGGAGGGTGGCGGTGATTGATCTTTGATGGAGAAAGGAGATACAGGTGGTGGTCTATTATCGTGGATGGGAGGGTGGCGGTGATTGATCTTTGATGGAGAAAGGAGATACAGGTGGTGGTCTATTATCGTGGATGCTGGCATGGCGGTGATTGATCTTTGATGGAGAAAGGGGATACAGGTGGTGGTCTATTATCGTGGATGGGAGGGTGGCGGTGATTGACCTTTGATGGAGAAAGGGGGTACAGGTGGTGGTCTATTATCGTGGATGGGAGGGTGGCGGTGATTGATCTTTGATGGAGAAAGGAGATACAGGTGGTGGTCTATTATCGTGGATGGGAGGGTGGCGGTGATTGATCTTTGATGGAGAAAGGAGATACAGGTGGTGGTCTATTATCGTGGATGGGAGGGTGGCGGTGATTGACCTTTGATGGAGAAAGGGGGTACAGGTGGTGGTCTATTATCGTGGATGGGAGGGTGGCGGTGGTTGACCTTTAATGGAGAAAGGGGGTACAGGTGGTGGTCTATTATCGTGGATGGGAGGGTGGCGGTGATTGACCTTTGATGGAGAAAGGAGATACAGGTGGTGGTCTATTATCGTGGATGGGAGGGTGGCGGTGATTGACCTTTAATGGAGAAAGGGGGTACAGGTGGTGGTCTATTATCGTGGATGGGAGGGTGGCGGTGGTTGACCTTTAATGGAGAAAGGGGGTACAGGTGGTGGTCTATTATCGTGGATGGGAGGGTGGCGGTGATTGACCTTTGATGGAGAAAGGAGATACAGGTGGTGGTCTATTATCGTGGATGGGAGGGTGGCGGTGATTGACCTTTAATGGAGAAAGGAGATACAGGTGATGGTCTATTATCGTGGATGCTGGCATGGCGGTGATTGATCTTTGATGGAGAAAGGGGGTACAGGTGGTGGTCTATTATCGTGGATGGGAGCATGGCGGTGATTGACCTTTGATGGAGAAAGGAGATACAGGTGGTGGTCTATTATCGTGGAAGCTGGCATGGCGGTGATTGACCTTTAATGGAGACAGGAGATACAGGTGGTGGTCTATTATCGTGGATGGGAGGGTGGCGGTGATTGACCTTTAATGGAGACAGGAGATACAGGTGGTGGTCTATTATCGTGGAAGCTGGCATGGCGGTGATTGACCTTTAATGGAGACAGGAGATACAGGTGGTGGTCTATTATCGTGGATGGGAGGGTGGCGGTGATTGACCTTTAATGGAGAAAGGAGATACAGGTGATGGTCTATTATCGTGGATGCTGGCATGGCGGTGATTGATCTTTGATGGAGAAAGGGGGTACAGGTGGTGGTCTATTATCGTGGATGCTGGCATGGCGGTGATTGACCTTTGATGGAGAAAGGAGATACAGGTGGTGGTCTATTATCGTGGATGGGAGGGTGGCGGTGATTGACCTTTAATGGAGAAAGGGGGTACAGGTGGTGGTCTATTATCGTGGATGGGAGGGTGGCGGTGATTGACCTTTAATGGAGAAAGGGGGTACAGGTGGTGGTCTATTATCGTGGATGGGAGGGTGGCGGTGATTGATCTTTGATGGAGAAAGGGGATACAGGTGGTGGTCTATTATCGTGGATGCTGGCATGGCGGTGATTGACCTTTAATGGAGACAGGAGATACAGGTGGTGGTCTATTATCGTGGATGCTGGCATGGCGGTGATTGATCTTTAATGGAGACAGGAGATACAGGTGGTGGTCTATTATCGTGGATGGGAGGGTGGCGGTGATTGACCTTTAATGGAGAAAGGAGATACAGGTGGTGGTCTATTATCGTGGATGCTGGCATGGCGGTGATTGACCTTTAATGGAGACAGGAGATACAGGTGGTGGTCTATTATCGTGGATGGGAGGGTGGCGGTGATTGACCTTTAATGGAGAAAGGAGATACAGGTGGTGGTCTATTATCGTGGATGCTGGCATGGCGGTGATTGACCTTTAATGGAGACAGGAGATACAGGTGGTGGTCTATTATCGTGGATGGGAGGGTGGCGGTGATTGACCTTTAATGGAGAAAGGAGATACAGGTGGTGGTCTATTATCGTGGATGCTGGCATGGCGGTGATTGACCTTTAATGGAGACAGGAGATACAGGTGGTGGTCTATTATCGTGGATGGGAGGGTGGCGGTGATTGACCTTTAATGGAGACAGGAGATACAGGTGGTGGTCTATTATCGTGGATGGGAGGGTGGCGGTGGTTGACCTTTAATGGAGAAAGGAGATACAGGTGGTGGTCTATTATCGTGGATGCTGGCATGGCGGTGATTGACCTTTAATGGAGACAGGAGATACAGGTGGTGGTCTATTATCGTGGATGGGAGGGTGGCGGTGATTGATCTTTGATGGAGAAAGGGGGTACAGGTGGTGGTCTATTATCGTGGATGCTGGCATGGCGGTGATTGACCTTTAATGGAGACAGGAGATACAGGTGGTGGTCTATTATCGTGGATGGGAGGGTGGTGGTGGTTGACCTTTAATGGAGACAGGAGATACAGGTGGTGGTCTATTATCGTGGATGGGAGGGTGGCGGTGATTGATCTTTGATGGAGAAAGGAGATACAGGTGGTGGTCTATTATCGTGGATGGGAGGGTGGCGGTGATTGACCTTTAATGGAGAAAGGGGGTACAGGTGGTGGTCTATTATCGTGGATGGGAGGGTGGCGGTGATTGACCTTTGATGGAGAAAGGGGGTACAGGTGGTGGTCTATTATCGTGGATGCTGGCATGGCGGTGGTTGAACTTTAATGGAGAAAGGGGGTACAGGTGGTGGTCTATTATCGTGGATGCTGGCATGGCGGTGGTTGATCTTTAATGGAGACAGGAGATACAGGTGGTGGTCTATTATCGTGGATGGCATGGCGGTGGTGGTTGACCTTTAATGGAGAAAGGAGATACAGGTGGTGGTCTATTATCGTGGATGGGAGGGTGGCAGTGGTTGACCTTTAATCGAGAAAGGAGGTACAGGTGGTGGTATAGTACCGTTGGTAGGAGGGTGGGACAGTTGCTATGAACGTCTGGCCGCCCTGCAGCTGGTCCCACTGCCAAGGCCTCACATAACGTAGCCATTGTTAGCATCACTACATTGTGTTGTCAAGGGTAACCGAGGAAGAAGTCGGCCCAAACAACGCATCGTCCAATCGACATTTAAATCACCTCTACAACCTGAAGACAGGTCCATCCCCCTTTTGTGGGGAGCTCCAGAACAGAACAGAACTTTATTTACTCTCAGGCAGGGATCCTTGGTGAGGTACAAATTCGAGGTACAAATACATAAGATGGCGTGGTGGTTTACATGGAAGATTTTACAGTTTCCATAATGACATTACGGAATGTACAGAGTTTCTTAATAACATTTATTTTTTTACAATTAAAAAGTTCTTTAAATTGAAAGATATTTGGGTTTTTTCCAAAGCCTCATAACATCCGTTCAAAGAGAGAGATATTGCTGGGTCTAGAACATTTACAACCAAATTCTTGTCTCAAAGATTAACCATAACATTCAACACAACAATACAATTATGGAAGGACTTTCTTTATATTCATAGAAAGTACTTGAGACAAGTGGAAATAATACCATGTTCAATTATGTCAATATCCAATAGAAATATCCTCATAAAGCAGAGTCGATAGGACGATTCCGGCTTTGCATTGCCCGTAGGGAGATCTGTTTTTATGCATACGTGTCAGAAGTTCTGTTCGGATTGGCAAAATTCTAACAGGAAGTTTAACTTAAGCTTCAGGTCTATTGAGCCTCTGCACGGTTACGACATTCCACGTCCTAGTAATCTTCCAAACTGCTTTATGGTAGGCATGGTGCAGCTAGGATACTTCCAAACTATCGACTGGTTCATTCTCTCGTTTTGACGACTGTTTGTCATTCACTTCAGCAGATATCTGACTCTAGCACATGTGTTGTGGTGATCGTTAGTTAGGAACATCAACTGTGCGGTCTGCAAGTCGAGCTCGAACTGACACAAGGAAGGTTGCGAAACTAACTGGCAATGAAAGCAGCAAGGGAGACAGGTTCATGCAGGCTGACCGCCATAGGGATTATTCACTGGACACGCACGTCCATAATCAACCAAATACACTGTACGATTCTAACGTTATCATTAGTGTGTGGGGCGGTGGGATAGCCTAGTGGTTAAAGCGTTCGCTCGTCACGCTGAAGACCCGGGTTCGATTCCCCACATTGATACAACGTGCGAAGCCCATTTCTGGTGCCCCCCGCCGTGATATTACAGGAATATAGCCAAGAGCGGCGTACAACAACAGTCACTCTCTCATTATTGTGTATCCATATATCACAATAACAGTGATGATACTACGTGTTCGTGAAAACACATACATTTATCTTAACGTCATTTTGTTTATTCACTTTTCCCGATTCAGTTAGACAATAAACATGTCTATATATAGCATGTGGTGATAAGTAATGTATGTGTCGGTTTAGTGTTCCGTTATCAGTTTAGAGTTACCCGTAGGTCCGGCCGGTCAGACCTTCAGCAGGCATCACCCCGATAGCCCGCTGTGTACCTGCCTTGACCTGGATGACAACCAACAGGCATTCTGATTCAGGAATAGTGGAATGCTGTTGCACAATACTATGTTGTTAAATCCACAAGCCTAGTGTTGCAAATAGAAACAACCTGTTTAGAACATAGATCTGACGTTGAGCATACACCACAACAACAGCACACGATGAAAGTCAGCGGGAAGGTCGCCATGGTTACGGGAGCCGCACAGGGTCTGGGGAAGGCGTTCGCTGCGTCACTGTTAGCGAATGGTGCAAAGGTACGGTGTGCTGTATTTGCGTCCATCATCCAGCCGTGTATGGCTTCGGTGATGTCATTTATGTTTCGTGATGTCGGGCAGGCTATCATACAGCCGTGCATGGCTTCGGTGATGTCATTTATGTTTCGTCATGTCGGGCAGGCCATCATACAGCCTTGCATGGCTTCGGTGATGTCATTTATGTTTCGTGAAGTCGGGCAGGCAATCATACAGCCTTGCATGGCTTCGGTGATGTCATTTATGTTTCGTGATGTCGGGCAGGCCATCATACAGCCGTGCATGGCTTCGGTGATGTCATTTATGTTTCGTCATGTCGGGCAGGCCATCATACAGCCTTGCATGGCTTCGGTGATGTCATTTATGTTTCGTGATGTCGGGCAGGCAATCATACAGCCTTGCATGGCTTCGGTGATGTCATTTATGTTTCGTGATGTCGGGCAGACCATCATACAGCCTTGCATGGCTTCGGTGATGTCATTTATGTTTCGTGATGTCGGGCAGGCCATCATACAGCCTTGCATGGCTTCGGTGATGTCATTTATGTTTCGTGATGTCGGGCAGGCAATCATACAGCCTTGCATGGCTTCGGTGATGTCATTTATGTTTCGTGATGTCGGGCAGACCATCATACAGCCGTGCATGGCTTCGGTGATGTCATTTATGTTTCGTGATGTCGGGCAGGCCATCATACAGCCTTGCATGGCTTCGGTGATGTCATTTATGTTTCTTGATGTCGGGCAGGCCATCTTACAGCCGTGCATGGCTTCGGTGATGTCATTTATGTTTCTCGATGTCGGGCAGACCATCATACAGCCGTGCATGGCTTCGGTGATGTCATTTATGTTTCGTCATGTCGGGCAGGCCATCATACAGCCTTGCATGGCTTCGGTGATGTCATTTATGTTTCGTGATGTCGGGCAGACCATCTTACAGCCGTGCATGGCTTCGGTGATGTCATTTATGTTTCGTGATGTCGGGCAGACCATCATACAGCCTTGCATGGCTTCGGTGATGTCATTTATGTTTCGTGATGTCGGGCAGACCATCTTACAGCCGTGCATGGCTTCGGTGATGTCATTTATGTTTCGTGATGTCGGGCAGACCATCTTACAGCCTTGCATGGCTTCGGTGATGTCATTTATGTTTCGTGATGTCGGGCAGACCATCATACAGCCTTGCATGGCTTCGGTGATGTCATTTATGTTTCGTGATGTCGGGCAGACCATCATACAGCCTTGCATGGCTTCGGTGATGTCATTTATGTTTCGTGATGTCGGGCAGACCATCTTACAGCCGTGCATGGCTTCGGTGATGTCATTTATGTTTCGTGATGTCGGGCAGACCATCTTACAGCCTTGCATGGCTTCGGTGATGTCATTTATGTTTCGTGATGTCGGGCAGACCATCATACAGCCTTGCATGGCTTCGGTGATGTCATTTATGTTTCGTGATGTCGGGCAGACCATCTTACAGCCGTGCATGGCTTCGGTGATGTCATTTATGTTTCGTGATGTCGGGCAGACCATCATACAGCCTTGCATGGCTTCGGTGATGTCATTTATGTTTCGTGATGTCGGGCAGACCATCTTACAGCCGTGCATGGCTTCGGTGATGTCATTTATGTTTCGTGATGTCGGGCAGACCATCTTACAGCCTTGCATGGCTTCGGTGATGTCATTTATGTTTCGTGATGTCGGGCAGACCATCATACAGCCTTGCATGGCTTCGGTGATGTCATTTATGTTTCGTGATGTCGGGCAGACCATCATACAGCCTTGCATGGCTTCGGTGATGTCATTTATGTTTCGTGATGTCGGGCAGACCATCTTACAGCCGTGCATGGCTTCGGTGATGTCATTTATGTTTCGTGATGTCGGGCAGACCATCTTACAGCCTTGCATGGCTTCGGTGATGTCATTTATGTTTCGTGATGTCGGGCAGACCATCATACAGCCTTGCATGGCTTCGGTGATGTCATTTATGTTTCGTGATGTCGGGCAGACCATCTTACAGCCGTGCATGGCTTCGGTGATGTCATTTATGTTTCGTGATGTCGGGCAGGCCATCTTACAGCCTTGCATGGCTTCGGTGATGTCATTTATGTTTCGTGATGTCGGGCAGACCATCATACAGCCGTGCATGGCTTCGGTGATGTCATTTATGTTTCGTGATGTCGGGCAGGCCATCATACAGATGATGCTGATATTTAGAATCCCATACAACATATAGATATACAATATCACATAGAACATGTAGATATTTACAATCACATAGAACATATAGATATACAATATCACATAGAACATGTAGATATTTACAATCACATAGAACATGTAGATATTTACAATCACATAGAACATGTAGATATTTACAATCACATAGAACATGTAGATATTTACAATCACATAGAACATGCAGATATTTACAATCACATAGAACATGCAGATATTTACAATCACATAGAACATGCAGATATTTACAATCACATAGAACATGCAGATATTTACAATCACATAGAACATGTAGATATTTACAATCACATAGAACATGTAGATATTTACAATCACATAGAACATGCAGATATTTACAATCACATAGAACATGCAGATATTTACAATCACATAGAACATGTAGATATTTACAATCACATAGAACATGTAGATATTTACAATCACATAGAACATATAGATATACAATATCACATAGAACATGTAGATATTTACAATCACATAGAATATGTAGATATTTACAATCACATAGAATATGTAGATATTTACAATCACATAGAATATGTAGATATTTACAATCATACAGAACATGTAGATATTTACAATCACATAGAACATGTAGATATTTACAGTCACATAGAATATGTAGATATTTACAGTCACATAGAACATATCGATATTTACAATCATACAGAATATATCGATATTTCTAATTATGTGCAACACAGCGAATGTGTGTTGAGGAGTGTTGAGTATTTCGCTGACGTCACGAGACGGGTATGATTAAAGTCCTGGTGTTGAAAGGTCATACCCAGCTTGGATTCAGGTCGCAGGTACTGGGGTCTGTGTTTGTTATCTGGAGCGTTGACTGGGGAGTGTGTCCCACCTTTACTCTGCATCGTGTGGTATATCATAGTGTTGTGTATACGGTGCGGATCGGGAGCTTGGGAACAAAACGATACGCCATACCGTACCCCTCTGATAACTAAGGCCGCGTCCAACACAGCGACCTCAGCGCTGAGACTGCCGTATTTATGCCTGTGAGGGTGGCAGCTATGGCAGTCTTAGCGCTTTATTGTTTTGTTATACGCGGCCAAGATTTATATGTTGCAATCCCTCAGGTGCAATCTACAAATTAATGTAGCTAAGAGAAATAACTTCTTCTTGGTGTCAACCTTTGACTTGTTACCGCCTCCGTGGCCTCGTGGATAGGGCGCCTGCATGGAGAGCGGAAGGTCCGGGGTTCGATCCCCGGCCGCGTCATACCAAAAGACGTTAAAAGATGGTACATGTACTTGCTCTGACCCTGTCTGGCGCTGTGTCTATGCGTCGCTGTAAAAGTGCAATAACCTTGGACGCGAAGCTTAACCCCATTTCACCTCACCTCACCTAACTTCATTGTCTCGTTCAGACTCGTTTATTTAAAGACCGCCCCTATAAATCTGGTTGATTAAACAACTTGCTGTTGAGGTACTACAGTAAAATCCCGGTATATCGCGACGTTTATTCATGTTTAGTGACGTACACAGAGACGAACAGTATCGTTATCTTGTCCCTAGTACATCTTATACGGGGGAATTAACTCGGCTAAAATAGTGTTCTCTTTAGACTCGGGCGATATAGTGTTCTCTTTAGACTCGGGCGATATAGTGTTCTCTTAAGACTCGGGCGATATAGTGTTCTCTTTAGACTCGGGCGATATAGTGTTCTCTTTAGACTCGGGCGATATAGTGTTCTCTTCAGACTCGAGCGATATAGTGTTCTCTTTAGACTTGGGTGATATAGTGTTCTCTTTAGACTCGGGCGATATAGTGTTCTCTTTAGACTCAGTCGATATAGAGAATCTCACCGGATTGTCTTTTGGTATCAAATATATCAACACGAGTTGATAAAAGTGGAAAAACTCCGTGGCTTGTCGTGTGTTGATATATTTGATCATAAAAAAAACACGAGGGTGAGATTTTATTTATCATCCAACATCATTCTTCCAACTTTTTCAGATTGTAGACAGTAATATGCAGTGTCTTAAGAGTAAAAAGTACTGCTAACAGCTTCAGTAGCTGAGCCATTAGTGATGACATTTGATTGTGACCTCATGGTAACCAATGACGTCACAATGGTCTCCAAAGCATTGTGATGCAATTTCATTGCAGTGATATCTACACCCAAGCAACATCTCCTGTTTGTTTGGCTGTCTACTTCAGCCCCAATCAAACCCTTGACAAGGAATTAATAATCAGAGTCTTATATCTCTCTCCAGACGATGAGGTGAAGAGTTGTACACCTGACACAAGGTCTCTGTTGTCTATTTACTGGGTAATTGTATAATGTCTGCGGGACAGGAACGTATCTACCATCGTAGCAAAATTGCAGACATTATACAGATCCCAAACCTCACTATATATACCTGTATCTGCTGTGAAAGATCCACGTTGTGTTGAAGGGAACCAGAACACTGTGGGGTCAGTGGGTGTTCGTGGTGCACGTGCGCCAAGTTCCGTCAGGAGTATCTTATCATTGGCTTGTCCGGCTTCTCTACATGTTGACAGGGTGAATAGGAAATGTAGAGCCCTGAACATGGACATATATGCCACTCCTATATTTCTCATCAAAGGTTTATCTAGTTACTAATTTTCTAATTATCATCGTATTCGTTTTGTATTTGGAATCTGTATATCCATATAGGTGACGTAATGTAACCCAACACTATACATATTATTTTCTCAATATTTAAGGTGTATGCAGATGTTTGAAAATATTTAATAGTTAATAAACCCTTCTCTTATGTGTCGCCGTAGCCGAGTTTGACTTCACACATCCTCAAATCCTACGATGCGAGGTCGACAAAATTTGAATACATTCACTCGAGTGTCAAACTCGAAGTAGCTTCGTTTATTCCAAGCGCACATTTTTCATTTTTACGCCCACAGAATCTGTTTCGGCGGATAATCGGTTTGACGGTTTATACGTAGAGATGGAGTTGGCAGGACCAATTTAAAATAGTCAGGTAAAGGTCTTTTGAAGTAACATTAAGTGGTAAAGGTACACGGTTGTTGAATAAAGCGGTATGACTATAGTCATGCCAAACAGTTGCTGGTGTGTGTTTTTCGTGCTTCAGTAACATGGGAGTGTATGTGTATGCGTGTGTGTATATGTATGTATGTGTTTGTATGTATGTGTGTGTATGTTTGTCATTGTGTGTGCATGTGTGTGGATGTGTATGTATGTGTGTGTGTTTGTCTTTGTGTGTGCGTATGTGTGTATGTGTATGTGTCTGTGTGTGAGAGGAGAGGGAGAGAGAGAGAGAGAGAAAGTTTCTGCATACTATCCATTACTAGGAACTGTCATTCATTCTATGAATATATTTTTTATGTAGTTTCCTTGTACACTAATTCTAATTGTTAGCTAGTTGTGTATGTACTATTTCTGTCGCGAACACCTGGTGTCATCATTTGATAGTGACTCATAACCACATGCCTATGCTATAGTCGGAATCGTACAGTTGACTCTGCCTTGTTCAGTGATTGTTTATGACAATGGAAAGGGCCTTATCGCTTCTATTTACAATTATAAATTACATTGCTCTTATGAAGGTTGGTATTTATTCTGACTTCTGAGGGTTGCTATTTATTCTAACTTCTGAGGGTTGGTATTTATTCTGACTTCTGAAGGTTGTAATTTCTGATGTCAACTCGGAGACGGGAGAAGCGACGCTTAAAGAGTTCCAAGACAAGTATGGTGAAGACAACGTGCTCTTCGTTAAGACGGACGTCACTTCACAGGCCGACATGGAGGGTAAGATGAGAACGAGTGTGAAAGGGAGAGAGAGGGGAATGTTGCACAGACACCGAGTTGGAGAATGCTGTTCTACGCGTCACATACAAAAGACCCTTGAAGATCCGGGATAGAATAGGTCTTCAGCAACCCATACTTGCCGGAAAAGACGACTATGCTTCTCGTAAGAGGCGACTAAAGGGATCGGATGATCAGGCTCGCTGACTTGCTTGATGCATGTCATCGTAACCCAATTGCGTGGGACAGATTATTTGACAGACCGCAGTCATATAGCTGGAATGTTGCTGAGTTTGGCGTTAAACAACAAACAAACAAACAAATAAAACAAACATACAAACAGTCGCTAGGTGGTCACAGAGTGGTTTATCTCACCAGAGAGGGTAAAATGGTCATCTACAATCTTTTAATATTTCTAATTCAAGCTATTGCCCCCTTATTTGGCACTTACTCTGTCAAATTAGAAAACATGTTGTTCGTGGCGCATGTCAAAGATGCCCAATTTACATTTATTCTTATAACGTTGCATTAAATACTAGTATATAATTGTATGTATGACAGAATTACGTTTGCCACAAAAATGTTTAAATATGATGTTGTTAGATGTGTCCCAGAGTGAAATTAAATCGGCTTCAAAACTCAAAAAATTGTTGTATCGGGTAGGTTTTAGTGTAATTTGAGAAAACCACAAAAGTCTATTGCTAGTTTTATAACAGAGTTTATGACACGACTAAAATGTATCTATGAACAAGACTGGCATGCCTCACTAACAGGTGGTTCTAAAACTTTGTCCTATTCATTGTTTAACACATCTTTCTATGTGGAGCCATATTTAACTAAGTTTCGCCGAGCGTTAGCTCAGTGCCGGTGCAGTTTCCATAAATTATACATAGAAACAGGTCGATATATTAAAAACACAAAAGAAGAAAGAATCTTTAAAATATGTTAATTCTGGATACATAGAAAATGAGTATCACTTTGTGCGTCAAATTTATCTTCAAAAGAAATACTCTGTTCATCTTACTTTACAGAAATAAAATGTTACATGTCTGTTGATAACATTGATATTGTCCGACATTTGGCAATGTATGTATTCTATGCAATGCAGTTAAGAATGCTGATGATGAGTTGGTGAGCCTCGTTTTAACTATTTGTCGGAAAAAGAGGTTTATCGGTACATTATCCGACGTTAAATAAAGTTAATTCTCTTTATAGAGCTACATAGACCAGGCCATACTGAAATACTATACAAATAGGTGAAACAGGTGTGACTCGTTATCGTCAGTTGTGCAATGTTGCGATGCTACAGAATATTCACATCCGGAGAACCAGTATAAGGATCAAATGTTTAACATACTTAAACTATTTTGGTTTCTGACAATTTTTATTGGTCTTCTTTGTGGCCGACATTATTCATCCGGTGAACCAAGTATTTACCTCACCTATGTGGTAAGGAGAGGCTCTTACGACAACGTGTATACTTGAGCTTAGAGAGCTGTTGCCGGACTCTCTCGTTAATTGTAAAAAACAGGTTTTTTGTTCTGGTAAAGACATGACCATTTTGTTTCTTGGGCATGAATATACTCGCACAAAACAGTGAAGTTCGGTCACACGTTTTCTAGAACATTACTAGCAGTTAGGTTTGGTTGTTTGTTGTTTAACGCCGCAATCAGCAATAGTCCAGCTATATCTTCACGGGTGGACAGTCAGAGTGAGTGAGTGAGTGAGTTGGGTTTAACGCCGCTTTTATCAGTATTCCAGTTATATCACGGCGTGTCAGCTTAATGTGGGAGGAAAGCCCGAAGTGATGTAGGTATCAGACGTTTACCACTTCGGTGAAACCCACGAGCACGGGTATGTTGCTGACAAACCTAGAAACATAATCGGGGCGAACCGGGATTCGAACCCACAATCTTAGGTTTCTGGCGTGCCCAAGGGACGCAACTCTGCACAGCGAATCGCGGCGCCTTAGACGACTGGGACACCCGTTGACAGTTAGAGGTAATTGTGATGCAATATAATTTATTGAGAACTTAACATGGATAAATGTATTTAGAGCTTACTAATACCCGTCCAGACATACAAGGCTACTTCCATGCGGTTGTAAAGCGTACTGGCTCAAATAGAAAGTCTACAATTAGCTTTCCCATTTTAAACTGGTGTACATCCGGGGAAGTTCATCACGAGGTGGTCATGCCCGGTGACCTGGTTGACATTGTGACGTCATACCCCGGTGATGTGGATCATTGCTCATGATACTGATTACTGGATTGTCTGGTCCAGAGAACATTGTTGACAGCCCGCCGTGTACATAGTATATAATCGTGGTTAAAGGGGTTTCATTGACAGGAAACGGAACTCTTATTATCAAAGATTAAGATGCACCTGAGCGACGGTCGAGCAGGAAAAAGTATACAATCACGAGCTTATTAATCCTCACATTCCAAATGAAATCTTTTGTATTCTTCCACATTCATGCCCTCAGCATCCCGCGTGTTTCAGCGACGTTCCAGCAGGTGCGTGCAAGGTTCGGGGGGCTGGACATCATGTCCAACAACGCCGGCATCATGGGGGAGACCAGTGACCTCTGGGAGAAGGCCGTCGACGTCAACCTGGTCAGCCCACGTTTCTCGATTGTCATCGCTTGTGGAGACCTGTGAAGGTCCGGGGTAGAACAGGTCTTCAGCAACCTATGCTTGTCGTAAGAGGCGGCTAACGGGATAGGGTGGTCAGACTCTCTGTCTTGGTTGATACATGTCATCGTATCCCAATTGGGTAGATCGATGCTCATGATGTCAATCACTGGATTATCTGGTCAAGACTATTTACAGACCGCCGTCATAAATCTGGAATATTGCTGAGTGCGGCGTTAAGCAACAAACAAACAAACACAGCTTGCAGAACACGTCTCATGCTCATCACTTTACCTCCGAGAAAACATCTGATGCTCTTCCTTTGTGGATGTTTTGTCGTTTTAATGGGCGTCGTTCGATTTGAGGATTTTCATCCATTAGAGGTATTCACGTAGATTGATACAGGTAGTTCATGGCATTATCATGCTCAGATATCGTCTTCCACGGACTGTAGGCTGCCATTGACATGCACATAGAAGCATACATCGATAGCGAACGGAACATTATCATTCACACGAACAAGAGCTACACTGAAATATATGTGGACACATGGATGGAGGAAATGGACATGGGCTGGGTGTAAGACATCCGCATAAACATCCGCATAAACATCCGCATAAACATTGGCATAAACATTGGCATAAACATTGGCATAAACATTGACATAAACATCGGGATAAACATTGACATAAACATTGGCATAAACATTGGCATAAACATTGGCATAAACATTGGCATAAACATTGGCATAAACATTGACATAAACATCGGGATAAACATTGACATAAACATCGGGGTAAACATTGGCATAAACATTGACATAAACATTGACATAAACATTGACATAAACATCGGGATAACATTGGCATGAACATTGGCATAAACATTGACATAAACATTGACATAAACATTGGCATAAACATTGGCATAAACATTGACATAAACATTGACATAAACATCGGCATAAACATTGGCATAAACATTGACATAAACATTGACATAAACATTGGCATAAACATTGACATAAACATTGACATAAACATCGGGATAAACATTGGCATAAACATTGACATAAACATCGGGATAAACATTGGCATAAACATTGACATAAACATCGGGATAAACATTGGCATAAACATTGGCATAAACATTGACATAAACATTGACATAAACATTGGCATAAACATTGGCATAAACATTGACATAAACATTGGCATAAACATTGGCATAAACATTGACATAAACATTGGCATAAACATTGACATAAACATTGGCATAAACATTGACATAAACATTGACATAAACATCGGGATAAACATTGGCATAAACATTGACATAAACATCGGGATAAACATTGGCATAAACATTGGCATAAACATTGGCATAAACATTGACATAAACATTGGCATAAACATTGGCATAAACATTGACATAAACATCGGGATAAACATTGGCATAAACATTGGCATAAACATTGGCATAAACATTGACATAAACATTGGCATAAACATTGACATAAACATTGACATAAACATCGGGATAAACATTGGCATAAACATTGACATAAACATCGGGATAAACATTGGCATAAACATTGACATAAACATCGGGATAAACATTGGCATAAACATTGGCATAAACATTGACATAAACATTGACATAAACATTGGCATAAACATTGGCATAAACATTGACATAAACATTGGCATAAACATTGGCATAAACATTGACATAAACATTGGCATAAACATTGACATAAACATTGGCATAAACATTGACATAAACATTGACATAAACATCGGGATAAACATTGGCATAAACATTGACATAAACATCGGGATAAACATTGGCATAAACATTGGCATAAACATTGGCATAAACATTGACATAAACATTGGCATAAACATTGGCATAAACATTGACATAAACATCGGGATAAACATTGGCATAAACATTGACATAAACATTGACATAAACATCGGGATAAACATTGCCATAAACATTGACATAAACATCGGGATAAACATTGGCATAAACATTGACATAAACATCGGGATAAACATCGGGATAAACATTGCCATAAACATTGACATAAACATTGGCATAAACATTGACATAAACATTGACATAAACATCGGGATAAACATTGGCATAAACATTGACATAAACATCGGGATAAACATTGGGATAAACATTGGCATAAACATCGGGATAAACATTGGCATAAACATTGGCATAAACATTGGCATAAACATTGACATAAACATTGACATAAACATTGACATAAACATCAGGATAAACATTGGCATAAACATTGACATAAACATTGGCATAAACATTGACATAAACATTGGCATAAACATTGGCATAAACATTGACATAAACATCGGGATAAACATTGGCATAAACATTGGCATAAACATTGGCATAAACATTGACATAAACATTGGCATAAACATTGACATAAACATTGACATAAACATCGGGATAAACATTGGCATAAACATTGACATAAACATCGGGATAAACATTGGCATAAACATTGACATAAACATCGGGATAAACATTGGCATAAACATTGGCATAAACATTGACATAAACATTGACATAAACATTGGCATAAACATTGGCATAAACATTGACATAAACATTGGCATAAACATTGGCATAAACATTGACATAAACATTGGCATAAACATTGACATAAACATTGGCATAAACATTGACATAAACATTGACATAAACATCGGGATAAACATTGGCATAAACATTGGCATAAACATTGGCATAAACATTGACATAAACATTGGCATAAACATTGGCATAAACATTGACATAAACATCGGGATAAACATTGGCATAAACATTGACATAAACATTGACATAAACATCGGGATAAACATTGCCATAAACATTGACATAAACATCGGGATAAACATTGGCATAAACATTGACATAAACATCGGGATAAACATCGGGATAAACATTGCCATAAACATTGACATAAACATTGGCATAAACATTGACATAAACATTGACATAAACATCGGGATAAACATTGGCATAAACATTGACATAAACATCGGTATAAACATTGGGATAAACATTGGCATAAACATCGGGATAAACATTGGCATAAACATTGGCATAAACATTGGCATAAACATTGACATAAACATTGACATAAACATTGACATAAACATTGACATAAACATCGGGATAAACATTGGCATAAACATTGACATAAACATTGACATAAACATTGGCATAAACATTGACATAAACATCGGGATAAACATTGGCATAAACATTGGCATAAACATTGGCATAAACATTGGCATAAACATTGACATAAACATTGACATAAACATTGGCATAAACATTGGCATAAACATTGACATAAACATTGACATAAACATTGACATAAACATCGGGATAAACATTGGCATAAACATTGACATAAACATCGGGATAAACATTGGCATAAACATTTACATAAACATCTGGATAAACATTGGCATAAACATTGACATAAACATTAGGGTAAACATTGGCATAAACATTGACATAAACATCGGGATAAACATTGGCATAAACATTGGCATAAACATTGGCATAAACATCGACATAAACATCCGCATAAACATTGGCATAAACATTGGCATAAACATTGGCATAAACATTGACATAAACATCGGGATAAACATTGGCATAAACATTGGCATAAACATTGACATAAACATTGACATAAACATTGACATAAACATCGGGGTAAACATTGGCATAAACATTGACATAAACATTGACATAAACATCGGGATAACATTGGCATAAACATTGGCATAAACATTGGCATAAACATTGACATAAACATCGGGATAAACATTGGCATAAACATTGGCATAAACATTGGCATAAACATTGACATAAACATTGGCATAAACATTGACATAAACATCGGGATAAACATTGGCATAAACATGACATAAACATCGGGATAAACATTGGCATAAACATTGACATAAACATCGGGATAAACATTGACATAAACATTGGCATAAACATTGACATAAACATCGGGATAAACATTGGCATAAACATTGACATAAACATCGGGATAAACATTGGCATAAACATTGGCATAAACATTGACATAAACATCGGGATAAACATTGACATAAACATTGACATAAACATCGGGGTAAACATTGGCATAAACATTGACATAAACATTGACATAAACATCGGGATAACATTGGCATAAACATTGGCATAAACATTGGCATAAACATTGGCATAAACATTGACATAAACATTGACATAAACATCGGGATAAATATTGGCATAAACATTGACATAAACATCGGGATAAACATTGGCATAAACATTGACATAAACATCGGGATAAACATTGGCATAAACATTGACATAAACATTAGGGTAAACATTGGCATAAACATTGACATAAACATCGGGATAAACATTGGCATAAACATTGGCATAAACATTGGCATAAACATCGACATAAACATTGGCATAAACATTGGCATAAACATTGGCATAAACATTGGCATAAACATTGACATAAACATCGGGATAAACATTGGCATAAACATTGGCATAAACATTGACATAAACATTGACATAAACATCGGGGTAAACATTGGCATAAACATTGACATAAACATTGACATAAACATCGGGATAACATTGGCATAAACATTGGCATAAACATTGGCATAAACATTGGCATAAACATTGACATAAACATCGGCATAAACATTGGCATAAACATTGGCATAAACATTGACATAAACATTGGCATAAACATTGACATAAACATCGGGATAAACATTGGCATAAACATTGGCATAAACATTGGCATAAACATTGACATAAACATCGGGATAACATTGGCATAAACATTAGCATAAACATTGACATAAACATCGGGATAAACATTGACATAAACATTGACATAAACATCGGGGTAAACATTGGCATAAACATTGACATAAACATTGACATAAACATCGGGATAACATTGGCATAAACATTGGCTTAAACATCGTCATAAACATCGGCATAAACACTGACATAAACATCGGCATAAACATCGGCATTAACATCGGCACAAACAAGACCGTCCAAATAAGAGTCTGTTGTACTAGCTATGATGCCCTTGCCTTGACGGTCGAAGCGATCGTATTTTGGTTTCACCCGGATTTGGGGAATCTGACTCATTAACATGGCTACAGGTTTCACAGTAGACAGAGAGTAGCAAGTATTGTGAAGCCAAGCAAAGACCCTAGACGGCTGCATCGTTTGTCCATTGGATGATTTCATCTGTAAGATGATGAAATGTTTCAGAAAGGCGTAATCCGGGGGACGAACCTGGCCTTGGACATGATGCGCCAGGACAAAGGGGGCCGGGGCGGAGTTATCGTCAACACGGCGTCTATAGCAGGTGAGATATCGTCAGCACGGCGTCTATAGCAGGTGAGATATCGTCAACACGGCGTCCATAGCAGGTGAGATACCGTCAACATGGCGTCCATAGCAGGTGAGATACCGTCAACACAGCGTCCATAGCAGGTGAGATATCGTCAACACAGCATCCATAGCAGGTGAGATATCGTCAACACAGCGTCCATAGCAGGTGAGATACCGTCAACACAGCATCCATAGCAGGTGAGATACCGTCAACACAGCATCCATAGCAGGTGAGATATCGTCAACACAGCATCCATAGCAGGTGAGATATCGTCAACACAGCATCCATAGCAGGTGAGATATCGTCAACACAGCGTCCATAGCAGGTGAGATACCGTCAACACAGCATCCATAGCAGGTGAGATATCGTCAACACAGCATCCATAGCAGGTGAGATATCGTCAACACAGCATCCATAGCAGGTGAGATATCGTCAACACAGCATCCATAGCAAGTGAGATATCGTCAACACAGCATCCATAGCAGGTGAGATATCGTCAACACAGCATCCATAGCAGGTGAGATATCGTCAACACAGCATCCATAGCAGGTGAGATACCGTCAACACAGCATCCATAGCAGGTGAGATATCGTCAACACAGCATCCATAGCAAGTGAGATATCGTCAACACAGCATCCATAGCAGGTGAGATATCGTCAACATAGCATCCATAGCAGGTGAGATATCGTCAACACAGCATCCATAGCAGGTGAGATGTCGTCAACATAGCATCCATAGCAGGTGAGATATCGTCAACACAGCATCCATAGCAGGTGAGATACCGTCAACACAGCATCCATAGCAGGTGAGATATCGTCAACACAGCATCCATAGCAGGTGAGATATCGTCAACATAGCATCCATAGCAGGTGAGATACCGTCAACACGGCGTCCATAGCAGGTGAGATATCGTCAACACAGCATACATAGCAGGTGAGATATCGTCAACATAGCATCCATAGCAGGTGAGATATCGTCAACACAGCATCCATAGCAGGTGAGATACCGTCAACACAGCATCCATAGCAGGTGAGATATCGTCAACACAGCATCCATAGCAGGTGAGATATCGTCAACATAGCATCCATAGCAGGTGAGATACCGTCAATACGGCGTCCATAGCAGGTGAGATATCGTCAACACGGCGTCCATAGCAAGTGAGATATCGTCAACACGGCGTCCACAGCAGGTAAGATATCGTCAACACAGCGTCCATAGCAGGTCAGATATCGTCAACACAGCGTCCATAGCAGGTCAGATATCGTCGACGCAGCGTCTATAGCAGGTGAGAAATCGTCAGCACAGCGTCAATAGCAGGTGAGATATCGTCAACACGGCGTCCATAGCAAGTGAGATATCGTCAACACGGCGTCCACAGCAGGTAAGATATCGTCAACACAGCGTCCATAGCAGGTCAGATATCGTCAACACAGCGTCCATAGCAGGTGAGATATCGTCGACGCAGCGTCTATAGCAGGTGAGAAATCGTCAGCACGGCGTCCATAGCAGGTGAGATATCGTCAACACGGCGTCCATAGCAGGTCAGATATCGTCAACACGGCGTCCATAGCAGGTCAGATATCGTCAGGAAAGCGTCTACAGCAGGTTAGATATCGTCAACACGGCGTCCATAGCAGGTCAGATATCGTCAACACGGCGTCCATAGCAGGTAAGATATCGTCAACACAGCGTCAATAGCAGGTCCGATATCGTCAACACGGCGTCCATAGCAGGTCAGATATCGTCAACACGGCATCCATAGCAGGTCAGATATCGTCAACACAGCGTCCATAGCAGGTCAGATATCGTCAACACAGCGTCCATAGCAGGTGAGATATCGTCAACGCAGCGTCCATAGTAGGTGAGATACCGTCAACACGGCGTCCATAGCAGGTGAGATATCGTCAACACGGCGTCCATAGCAGGTGAGATGTCGTCAACACGGCGTCCATAGCAGGTGAGATATCGTCAACACGGCGTCCATAGCAGGTCAGATATCGTCAGCACAGCGTCCATAGCAGGTGAGATGTCGTCAACACAGCATCAATAGGAGGTGAGATATCGTCAACACGGCGTCCATAGCAGGTCAGATATCGTCAACACGGCGTCCATAGCAGGTGAGATATCGTCAGCACAGCGTCCATAGCAGGGGAGACAACTCACACAGTACTGTTTGTCGCATGTGATGCTTGAAATTTGCAGCAGTGCCACCCCCCCCCCCCCCCCCCCCCCTTTACCCCTGACCACGAGACTTTCATTAAAGTCATGAAAAAAGTTTTGAGAAAACATGATCTTGACTAAAATGCGACGTAAGACGAATTTCAAGAAAGTTGTTTCAAGAAGATGAACACCAACATGTTTCTACTGTAACGGTAAATAACACAAGAGTGTCATGGTTACAAACACATGTTGATCATGTAGTCGGAATTATACAATGTACTTTTTAACAAAAGTTTTTGTGATTGTGGAAATATTTTGTCGTTTTTGTTGCCATGCTTGTGCATCGTGCTATCTGTACACCAACACACACCGTATTTCTGCTTCCCCAGGTTTGATGGTGGTGCCTACAGCTGCCGTGTACTGCGCCACTAAACATGGGGTCATCGGATTCTCAAGGAGCTGGGCTGTCAGTATCCCACAAATAGGCGCAGCATACTTTAGACGACTCTCAACAATCGTTACACCGACCTCTTTCTCGAATTTTTGTAAATTGGTCAAAAGATTGGGGGGGGGGGGATAATCATCATCATTTGTTCTCTGGACTCACCAGGTCTCCCTCTGGACTGACATTTTGTCCCAGAAATACAGTTATCATATTTATTGATATATATCTTTAAAACACAACAACCAGAGAATCGAGCCCAGAACAATGCTTTTTTCTGAGTTGAAGCAATCTAGTCGTGCCAGATCTTTGTAGACTTGACCTGGATTCAATTCTAATTTATTCTTTCGGGTCTGGGAGACAGACGAGTCTCCCCGTTTCACAGAATAATATTGCCTGTTTTGTAAATATCAGCGTACCATAATCCAACTGAACCAGAAATCCACTCTGATACTTTGTGTGGCCAAGTAGATGGTGTGTTGACTGTTTCAGGCCAGTCCTGTGTGTACAGACAATGGAGTGCGTGTCAATGCGTTGTGTCCTTCCTTTGTGGACACGGCCATGGTGCCTCCTGAGAGTGAAGCCGGCGAGGAGTTGAAGACATTTCTCGATGAACACGGGCTAATGTCGTAAGTGTTCCTTATTTTATATATGCATACTCCCACTCTTCGTTTATTTCTTTGTTATATATAAATCTCATAAAATACCCCAAATAACCGTCTTCAAATTTCGCGCTCATATGTTTGATATTTGAGCACGGCTTAATTTCAGCCAATCATTTGACTAGTTCGATTCTGCCCGCAGCAGCAATCTACTTCCGCTTACTTTTCGTGACATTTCCAATCTCATTAAAATCAGATCTTTGTTTTCGCTACCGCTAAACAAAGATCTGAGGACATCCTATTACGGGTCAAGTCAGAACGACCTTCCGACCAATGAAATGACTGACAAGAAATCGACATCAGAAGGCAGCTTCCTCGAGCTTTACGACACTAGTTTCAAACTTGCGACTACGCTTCGAAACATATTTTGACGTATTCTCGATTAAATTTTTTAAAACAGATAAGAAGAACATTCTGGAATGGCTTATAGATGGCACAGATTGTATGGATATAATCATAAAACCTGTAACTGTCGTTCGGAATACCCCGTGTTAAATATATCGTGGTTGCATGATTAGAAAACACATTCCGACTGTCACTTTCAGGATCTGGTAAGCGACGCTCTGATTGGTTGGATGAAAGGTCGTTCTGACGTGACCCCTAATGGGATGTCCTCAGATCTTTGTTTAGCGATAGCGAGAACTAACATCTGATTTTAATGAGATTGTGACATTTCCAGCTCGCGAATAAATATTGATATTTCGGTAAGTTATGGACATTAATTGAATTTCAGTGGCTTGTACATGTGCAGAAATGAGCTGCCTATCGATCTACAGTCAGACACGTGTTTGACAAAAAGCGTTTCATAAAAAAAATCGACCTGGATATCGATGTAAATAAAATAAAAATGGCGGGTGACGCTCCTTTTCTCTGCTTATATATTGAGAGTATATATTTGTATTTACTGACCAATAACGAGGTCCTGTGCGTTCATCGGAGCCAAGACAGCGTGGGGGAGTAAGATCTGTTCACGATAACGCGCAGTTGTTGCCCTGGAAATGAAGATCTGTTCTTCATCCATGAGAGATGGCTCCGCACATAGCACTCCCTCCACCGAATCTGTCGACTTCTTGTACGCAACATCCGGTATGACGGTAATTCCGACGCTGATACACACATCTCTCCTTTAAAGGAGACGGGATCCGTCACTACACCTGACGCTACGTCAACGTAGGTCCTCCTTGGTCGGATATCGGCACTGTGCAGACATTGGATGTAAAACAGGCCCCCGTGTTGCAGTGTCCGTCCCAGTGTCCTGTTTCGAAAATGAAGGACCCGGATGTAGCGACATTGGCCCGTTCCACAAAGAGGCCGTACCGCTAAGACGATCGTAACTCCCATACTCTAACACAGACCTACGACACTCGTAGCTCTACGATCGCTTTGTGGAACGGGGACGTGGACTGCCGTGGTATTGCGGAGTCGCCTGGCACTTGGAAAATGACCAAAGTCATGAAGCTTGCAATTCACCACTTCCAAGTCTACCAATAGTGCATTTTTTCATTATCATTGAGTCTTGGCATGACGATTTTCAAACTGCACTTTATTAACTGAATGATTTGTGAAGACGACATCTGTCATGAACTTTCCCAGGACACTTGTGACAATTACCATGACTTGCACGTGAAAACTGCTTTTCAGTTTTAAAAAAAAACGAATTATGAAAATGTGAGATGTCATCGATATTAACTCTATTAAAACAATAAAACCGTTTTGTGATACTTTATCAGTAAAACAAAACATGTAGACTGAACTTTCATGTAGCATTAAAACATGGAATCCTTCCATCCACGCAAGTGATTGTTGTCTCTTTGAGTGTATACATCAGTGAATCAATAAAGGATTTCAATGACTATAAGCTGGAAAATAGTTTTGTATTAAGAGGGGGAAATGGGCTCCCAGTGGCGTCCGACTGTTCAGGGGGGAACAAGACGAGTTCTAACTAAATATATATCATTTCGCCATATTTCATACAGAAAACTCCATGTATTTTTAGCTTCTGTCTTTAGAACCGGAATGTAAATGAAGGTTCGGTGGCGAATGGACCCAGAGTTGTATTATAAACTGTAATTGTAACTATTTCGCCGAAACTGTATCAAGGTTTCGCCTGCTTATTTTATTACACCTAATCCTTTGCCAAATTCTTCTGTTTGGAGTTCAGTGGTGTCTTCAGTGCCACCCTCGAGTATCCAGTTATATCTCCATTGTACTCTGGGGAATACCCTGGACACAGCCGCTACCATAACTTCGATCGTGACGTCACATCTCCAAATCTCTTACCAATAACTTTCCACAAATTTTCTGTCGCCGTTCAGAGTAATTTGATTGGACGACTCATCATGCCATTTGAATCTGACGTATAACAAAGCTTTGATGGCGAATGGGTCTCGGCTATTTATTGTATTAATAGAATGGAGATATAATACACTGGATAATCGAGGCTTCACACACGTGACGAGATCCGATTGGTTGCAGCGTTGAGTACGTGGCCGAGGGCTTCATGGACCTGGTGCAGGATGACGCGAGGAATGGCGCTGTGCTGAAAATGGGCCAAATAGTGGGGAAAGTTTACGTCGAATATTAGAATGACGAACAACAACACTTATTTAAACAGTTTAGAAAATGTATCAAACTTTTTGATTTCCAATAAAGATTTATTCTCAGACTGACATATACCAATAAAAGAAAGTTAGTTGTTACAAATAAGTCAAAATGGGAGAAGTATTCTTCGTGTCTTCAATGAATATAACATTGTCAATCATTTCTGGATGCAAGCATTCAAACTACCTTCCCCACAAACAACCAGTTCCCACTTGAGAAATGTTGGATTCGGAGTTCATGTAAATTCATTACTCCTCCATCACATCATCCTACATAACAACACATATATTTACAAAGGTAGTAGCGTGGGCTCTCATCCTCTTTGGGTGATTTATAGAAAATACAGGAAAAGTTGGTTGCAAAATAGGAAAATGATTTATCATAAAATGGTTAGGTTTCTCAACAGGATAAAGCCAACGAATCTCAAGTGGGATCATAAAGGGTAAATATGGAAACAAAAATCAGGTTGGGACTTTTTTTTCAGGGGCGTCGCTCTTGTCGACCGGATTCCGATTCCGCTTCATTTTTCTCTCCCTAAACATCCAATGGCGGTTCAAAAGCAGAGAAAAGTGCAAATAAATAATAAATGTACAGCCAGATGGCTGTGGAGATTTCATTTGATTTCAAGGCATTCAATAGTCAATAATAATTCAGACAGGCGTTTCAGTTCTTTTTACTTAGTAGTTGTTTTCAAACATTAAAATGAGTGTGCATTAGACCATACAAGGTATTTCTCAGGTATAAGTGACAGTCTGTTAGCAGTGAAGGCTTCACAACGGAGTATATGATGGAACTCGTCAGCAACCGTTGGCGCATTTCTAAGTGTACATAAACGTTGATCCATCGGCCAGTCTCAATGGGTGGGTTATGATTTGCTGTTCGAAATTTTAAAAGGGGATAAGCTATAGATTTAGGTAACAGAAGATAGTTTTCAAACGATGGTATTTCTTTGAGATATTTATTGTAGAATCTCTTCGAGCAGCTGTTATACAGCCTCTCCATGTCTGGGAGAATTGATCTGTCAGTACTCTATCTACTGTTGAGACTAGCCACTGTGCATTAACGTTCATTCTTGGTTCAGATCGATGGGACTGATCATGGGGGATAACTTGTAGGGGTGGGTATGGTTTTACGCCGCTTTTTTGCGGGTGACACCAGAAATGGACTTCATACATAGTACCCATGTCGGGAATCGAACCCAGGACTTCGGCGGGACATCGAACGCTTTTAACCACTAGGCTACCCCACCGCCCCGGATAACTTGAAGGACATCGTTTATACCATCACTGGTTTTGTCGCCCAACTGATGACCCGAACAGAAATGTTAACCAAAAAATCACTGCATAGTTTTCTGTCAAACGTTCATTGAACTATTTTGTTGCGTCATATCATGTGTCAGTTGCTGTTATCAACATGTTCAGAGTTTCAGTTAGAACTATGTTGCTTGTTGTCACTGTCCGATCAACTGATCGATTAAAAATGAGTGAGTTAAAATCGGCATTATTTCAGCCCTACAGCGAGCGATCAACTGATCACCGACCTTGTGACGTCATATATTAATTCGCACTTTCCAGGAAGATTTGCAATGATTAGGTATCGTTTATGAATGATGAGACTACGGCGATAGAATTTAGGAGTGACACTAATTGATATGTATGTTCTTCCACAGCAGATATGATGAATACTTACCTCTGTTACAACAGTCGTACTCTCTGTAACACCCACGTAAACAGGAAATACAAATACAAATGATTCACAGAACCTATGTTGCAATGTTGTTGTTTGTGTACATATTTGAAGGAAGAATTTCTGCTGCATAGCGGTTATTCCCTGGTGATGTATGTGATGACGGCTATCACAGTTGTGTTGTAGGCCTCAAGTCTGCAGTGTTTCCACGACTGTTTTCAGCCTTTTCATAACGTTTGTAATGTTTGGGTCAAATCCAATTTTCAAGTTTATACTTTCTTTTGGCCGACAGGTTAGTTATTTTCGGGGAAATTACAAATCATTTTCAGTTTTAAAACCAGCTAAATTAATTACTTCTCCTGCTTGCACTTACACGACACTAATTTTCAAAATGCCAGCGCTTAAGAAGCTTGTATAATAATCATGGTCCTTGAGAAAGGAAAATAAGTTTCTTTCTCGTGTTTCATTTTGTCTAGGTTAATAATTTATAAGTTCAGCTCTCATCTTGCAAACACATACAGAAGAATCCTCGCTTAGAACGTCGATTTCTAAACAGACGTAATACGCCTAATTGAAATCCTGGAATCTGGGTGAAGAAATTCCCGCAGCAGAGTGCAGAGTTCCCGGAACTCATTACAGGATAGTATGCCCATGATTATAATTATAAGTACAAGGGAACACCTTGTTCTGGGATATTGGTACACGGCACTGCAGTTAGTCATTGAGATTGTACGCGGGATCCCATGACTAACCTCCGTCATTGTACCACCGTTGGTTTAGACCAGGAACTCCTGCGTGGCGAGGAAACGCTTTAACCACTAGGCGGGGTTCCGACAGTCCTGTTACCTGAGGCCCCCCAATTCCTTGTACAGAGTAGCGTCCCTTAGGTGTAGCAGAAACCTGTGACCTTGAGTTCGAATCCCAGTTTCAACATAATGTTTCTTCGTTTGTCAGCACCATACACCTTTTTGCGGGTTTCAACAAAGTGGTAAACGTCTGAGACCTGCATCGCTTGGGGGTTTCCTCCCATGTGAAGCTGACGCACCCTCATATATCTGACATAACAGTTCAAAGCGGTGATACACAAAACTCACTCCTGTCACGTGACAGCTCGTTCCTAGGACAGCTAAGGCTGATAAATATGTATCTATCAAGAAGATGACTCGATAGGAGTCTGAAGATGTACGTCCTGTATCACCTCGGGCATTCGTCCCACTTAAACTGGCACACGGTGAAATCACTGAAAGCATGTTCTAAACGTGCATGTTAGTATATGGGTGTTGTCATATTGCAAAAGTCCAATATGGCTGACCTGGGACTTAGAACATGGGCAATATGAAACCATTCATTTAATTGAGTGCCTAAACTATATATTTCCATGTAAAAATATCATAGTTATGAGAAAACAGGATCCACTCTCTACCAAAGCAAGCTATCGCCTTCGGTTGTTACTACAACGTAAGAAATGCAAACGCGCAAAAGCCGTGCTGGCCCGGCCAAGCCATATTGGCCCGCTCAAAACCCACATTGGCCAGCTAAAATCCCGTATTGGCCCGCTCAAAACCCGTATTGGCCAGCTAAAATCCCGTATTGGCCCGCACAAAACCCGTATTGGCCCGCTAAAATCCCGTATTGGCCCGCTCAAAACCCACATTGGCCCGCTAAAATCCCGTATTGGCCCGCTCAAAACCCGTATTGGCCCGCTAAAATCCCGTATTGGCCCGCTTAAGTCGTATTGGCCCGCTCAAATGCCGTATTGGCCCGCTAAAGTCCCGTATTGGCCCGGCAAAGCCATATTGGCCCGCTCAAAACCCGTATTGGCCCGCTAAAATCCCGTATTGGCCCGCTAGCGTCGTTCTGGCCCTCCGGTGCTACTTTTAAATGTGAGCCGATGTGAGCGTATTACGAACAGCGTAATTATTACATTACATCAACGTAGTGCTGCTCCTTCCCAGTTGTGAATCACCCCCGCACAGAAGCGTTGCCGCACGACCGGGCACGGAACTGTTCAACAGCCTGTGTATATGCGACACACAGAAGAATTTAGAGACCGAACCCATTCTCGTACGATATAATTATAGTTGAAAAACAACTATCCTTCGTGTTCCAAACCTGCGTTAATAATCCGAGAAAGCCAGCTCGTTGCACAGCTGGTTCGCCCGAAGGGTGTATTTGTGTATGAATATTTCACTCTTGAAATGAAGCTCGAGGGTGAGAGTCTGAACCGTGGCGAAGAGAACACGCGTGATATTTAAATTAACTTTCATTTCTTTTACCGCCTCGGGGCACGAAAACTGAATTGGCTGTTATTAGTGAATCCTTTTTCGACAGCTTTACACACATAAAACATCATAATGAAGAAAAAGTTTATGAACAAGTTAGGCCGTTGGTTCTCTGTGCGGGGACTTTGTGAAACATTTACTCGAAAAGAATTTGTCATCAGTCAACGCTGACGGCCAAAGCATATCTGCAGAGAGCTTTCTATTACAAGACGGCATGGTCGTATTGATGCGAGAGAATGGATGAAATGGCATGATTTGATTTTCAGGTCACTGTGACATAATGGTACCAAATGAGGTTCATTCACCATCACTATGTCTCCTACCAACATGACCGAGCTTTCCTAGTCCGCCCGTCCAGGATATTTGGAATCCTTTCTGTAAGTCCTTCATCACCAGCTGACTCGTTTCCTGAACCACAGCCGGCATTCCAGACTTGAGCATATGGTCGGTGTCGGTTATCTAGCAATAATATGACGTGGGAGCTGGCTACAGTCAGTTACCTAAATTATCCAACTAGCGTTCTAATTGTAGATAAAGAAGGCCTGCATGAGTCTGTCTTTGCCTGGTTGTTGCGATAGGGTAGCCTTGTGTTAAAGCCTCAGCCCGTCACGTACAACCTTGGGCCTGCATGAGTCGGTCTTTGCCTGGTTGGGGCGATGGGGTAGCCTTGTGTTAGGCCTCAGCCCGTCACGTACAACCTTGGGCCTGCATGAGTCTGTCTTTGCCTGGTTGTGGCGATGGGGTAGCCTTGTGTTAAAGCATCTGCCCGTCACGTACCACCTTGGGCCTGCATGAGTCGGTCTTTGCCTGGTTGGGGCGATGGGGTAGCCTTGTGTTAGGCCTCAGCCCGTCACGTACAACCTTGGGCCTGCATGAGTCTGTCTTTGCCTGGTTGTGGCGATGGGGTAGCCTTGTGTTAAAGCATCTGCCCGTCACGTACCACCTTGGGCCTGCATGAGTCTGTCTTTGCCTGGTTGTGACGAAGGGGTAGCCTTGTGTTAGGCCTCAGCCCGTCACGTACCACCTTGGGCCTGCATGAGTCTGTCTTTGCCTGGTTGGGGCGATGGGGTAGCCTTGTGTTAGGCCTCAGCCCGTCACGTACAACCTTGGGCCTGCATGAGTCTGTCTTTGCCTGGTTGTGACGAAGGGGTAGCCTTGTGTTAGGCCTCAGCCCGTCACGTACCACCTTGGGCCTGCATGAGTCTGTCTTTGCCTGGTTGGGGCGATGGGGTAGCCTTGTGTTAGGCCTCAGCCCGTCACGTACAACCTTGGGCCTGCATGAGTCTGTCTTTGCCTGGTTGGGGCGATGGGGTAGCCTTGTGTTAGGCCTCAGCCCGTCACGTACAACCTTGGGCCTGCATGAGTCTGTCTTTGCCTGGTTGTTGCGATGGGGTAGCCTTGTGTTCAAGCCTCAGCCCGTCACGTACAACCTTGGGGCTGCATGAGTCTGTCTTTGCCTGGTTGTGGCGATGGGGTAGCCTTGTGTTAAAGCATCTGCCCGTCACGTACAACCCTGGGCCTGCATGAGTCTGTCTTTGCCTGGTTGTTGCGATGGGGTAGCCTTGTGTTCAGGCCTCAGCCCGTCACGTACCACCTAGGGCCTGCATGAGTCGGTCTTTGCCTGGTTGTGGCGATGGGGTAGCCTTGTGTTAAAGCCTCACGGCTACGGTGTTCTATATGAAGATGTACACGGTGTTCTTTATAAAAGTGTTCATGGTGTTCTATATGAAGGTGTTCATGGTGTTCATGGCGTTCTTTATGAAGGTGTACACGGTGTTCTTTATGAAGGTGAACACGGCGTTTTTTTATGAAGATGCACACGATGTTCTTTATGAAGGTGTACATGGTGTTCTTTATCAAGGTGTACATGGTGTTATTTATGGAGGTGTTCATGTTGTTCTTTATGAAGGTGGCTACAGTGTTCTTTATGACGGTATACACGGCGTTCTTTATAAAAGTGTTCATGGTGTTCTATATGAAGGTGTTCATGGTGTTCATGGCGTTCTTTATGAAGGTGTACACGGTGTTCTTTATGAAGGTGAACACGGCGTTTTTTTATGAAGATGCACACGATGTTCTTTATGAAGGTGTACATGGTGTTCTTTATCAAGGTGTACATGGTGTTATTTATGGAGGTGTTCATGTTGTTCTTTATGAAGGTGGCTACAGTGTTCTTTATGACGGTATACACGGCGTTCTTTATGAAGGTGTTCATGGGGATCTTTATGACGGTATACACGGCATTCTTTTTGAAAGTGTTCATGGTGTTCTTTATGAAGGTGTTCATGGTGTTCTTTATGAAGGTGTACACGGTGTTCTTTATGAAGGGACCGCCTCCGTGGTCTTGTGGTAGAGCGTCCGCCCGGAGAGCGGAAGGTCCGGGGTTCGATCCCGGGCCGCGTCATACAAAAAGACGTTAAAAGATTGTACTTGTTGTTACCCTGTCTGGCGCTCGGCATTAAGGGGCTAAAACAAGGACTGGTCGGCTCGGAGTCAGTATACTGTGTCTGAGTGGGGTATTCATGTTAAACTGCGGCATGGTATCTCAGTGAGCTAGCACTATAAATCGGCATCAGTCCGGACTAGTACAAGCAGCCACACACACACATACACGTGCATGCACGTCGCTATATAAGTGCAATAATCTTGGACGCGACGTTAAACCCAATTTCACCTCACCTCACCTTTATGAAGGTGTTCATGGTGTTCTTTATGAAGGTGTTCATGGTGTTCTTTATGAAGGTGTTCATGGTGATCTTTATGAAGGTATACACAGGGTTCTTTATGAAGGTGTTCATGGTGTTCTTTATGAAGGTATACACGGTGTTCTTTATGAAAGTGTTTATGGTGTTCTATATGAAGGTGTTCATGGTGATCTTAATGAAGGTATACACGACGTTCATTATGAAGGTATACACGGCGCTCTTTATGAAGGAGTTCATGGCGTTCTGTATGAAGGTGTTTATGGTGTTCTTTATGAAGGTGTACATGGTGTTCTTTATGCAGGTGTTCATGGTGTTCTTTATGAAGGTGAACACGGTGTTCTGTATGAAGGTGTACATTGTGTTCTTTATGAAGGTGAACACTGTGTTCTGTATGAAGGTGTACATGGTGTTCTTTATGAAGGTGTTCATGGTGTTCTTTATGAAGGTGTTCATGGTGATCTTTATGAAGGTGTACACAGTGTTCTTTATGAAGGTGTACACGGTGTTCTTTATGAAGGTGTACACGGTGTTCTTTATAAAGATGTGTACAGTGATCTTTATGAAGGTGTTCATGGTGTTCTATATGAAGGTGTTCATGTTGATCTTTATGAAGGTGTTCATGGTGTTCTATATGAAGGTGTTCATGGTGATCTTAATGAAGGTATACACGACGTTCTTTATGAAGGTATACACGGCGTTCTTTATGAAGGTGTTTATGGCGTTCTTTATGAAGGTGTACACGGTGTTCTTTATGCAGGTGTTCATGGTGTTCTGTATGAAGGTGTACACGGTGTTCTTTATGAAGGTGTTCATGGTGTTCTTCATGAAGGTGTTCATGGTGTTCTTTATGAAGGTGAACACTGTGTTCTGTATGAAGGTGTACATGGTGTTCTTTATGAAGGTGTTCATGGTGTTCTTCATGAAGGTGTTCATGGGGATCTTTATGAAGGAAAACACGGTGTTCTGTATGAAGGTGTTCATGGCGTTCTTTATGAAGGTGTACACGGTGTTCTGTATGAAGGTGTACATGGTGTTCTTTATGAAGGTGTTCATGGTGTTCTTCATGAAGGTGTACATGGTGTTCTTTATGAAGGTGAACATGGTGTTCTTTATGAAGGTGTAAACGGTGTTCTTTATGAAGGTGAACACGGTGTTCTTTATCAAGGTGTACACGGCGTTCTTTGTGAAGGTGTTCATGGTGTTCTTTATGAAGGTGTTCATGGTGTTCTTTATGAAAGTGTACACGGTGTTCTTTATGAATTGTTCATGGTGTTCTATATGAAGGTGTACACGGTGTTCTTCAGGAAGGTGTAGACGGTGTTCTTTATGAAGGTGTACATGGTGTTCTTTATGAAGGTATACATATGGTTCTTTATGATGGTATTCATGGTGATCTTTATGAAGGTGTAAACGGCGTTCTTTATGAAGGTGTACACGGTGTTCTTTATGAAGATGTTTACAGTGATCGTTATGAAGGTGTACACGGTGTTCTTTATGAAGGTGTTCATGGTGATCTTTATGAAGGTGTACATGGCGTTCTTTAGGAAGGTGGACACGGAGTTCTTTATGAAGATGTTTAAAGTGATCTTTATGAAGGTGTACAAGGTGTTCTTTATGAAGGTGTTCATGGTGTTCTTTATGAAGGTGTTCATGGTGATCTTTATGAAGGTGTACACAGTGTTCTTTATGAAGGTGTACACGGTGTTCTTTATGAAGGTGTACACGGTGTTCTTTATAAAGATGTGTACAGTGATCTTTATGAAGGTGTTCATGGTGTTCTATATGAAGGTGTTCATGTTGATCTTTATGAAGGTGTTCATGGTGTTCTATATGAAGGTGTTCATGGTGATCTTAATGAAGGTATACACGACGTTCTTTATGAAGGTATACACGGCGTTCTTTATGAAGGTGTTTATGGCGTTCTTTATGAAGGTGTACACGGTGTTCTTTATGCAGGTGTTCATGGTGTTCTGTATGAAGGTGTACACGGTGTTCTTTATGAAGGTGTTCATGGTGTTCTTCATGAAGGTGTTCATGGTGTTCTTTATGAAGGTGAACACTGTGTTCTGTATGAAGGTGTACATGGTGTTCTTTATGAAGGTGTTCATGGTGTTCTTCATGAAGGTGTACACGGTGTTCTTTATGAAGGTGTAAACGGTGTTCTTTATGAAGGTGAACACGGTGTTCTTTATGAAGGTGAACACGGTGTTCTGTATGAAGGTGTACATGGTGTTCTTTATGAAGGTGAACATGGTGTTCTTTATGAAGGTGTAAACGGTGTTCTTTATGAAGGTGTACACGGTGTTCTTAATAAAAGTGTTCATGGTGTTCTTTATGAAAGTGTTCATGGTGTTCTATATGAAGGTGTTTGTTGTGATCTTTATGAAGGTGTTCATGGTGTTCTATATGAAGGTGTTCATGGTGATCTTAATGAAGGTATACACGACGTTCTTTATGAAGGTATACACGGCGTTCTTTATGAAGGTGTTTATGGCGTTCTTTATGAAGGTGTAAACGGTGTTCTTTATGCAGGTGTTCATGGTGTTCTGTATGAAGGTGTACACGGTGTTCTTTATGCAGGTGTTCATGGTGATCTTTATGAAGGTGAACACGGTGTTCTTTATGAAGGTGTTTATGGCGTTCTTTATGAAGGTGTAAACGGTGTTCTTTATGCAGGTGTTCATGGTGTTCTGTATGAAGGTGTACACGGTGTTCTTTATGAAGGTGTTCATGGTGTTCTTTATGAAGGTGAACACGGTGTTCTTTATGAAGGTGCACATGGTGTTCTTTATCAAGGTGTACAAGGTGTTCTTTATGAAGGTGTTCATGGCGTTCTTTATGAAGGTGGCTACGGTGTTCTTTATGAAGGTGTACACGGTGTTCTTTATGAAGGTGTACACGGTGTTCTTTATAAAAGTGTTCACGGTGTTCTTTATGAAAGTGTTCATGGTGTTCTATATGAAGGTGTTCATGGTGATCTTTATGTAGGTATACACGGCGTTCTTTATGAATCTGTTCGTTGTGTTCTTTATGAAGGTGTACACGGTGTTCTTTATGAAGGTGAACACGGTGTTCTTTATCAAGGTGTACATGGTGTTCTTTATCAAGGTGTACACGGCGTTCTTTGTGAAGGTGTTCATGGTGTTCTTTATGAAGGTGTTCATGGTGTTCTTTATGAAAGTGTACACGGTGTTCTTTATGAATTGTTCATGGTGTTCTATATGAAGGTGTACACGGTGTTCTTCAGGAAGGTGTAGACGGTGTTCTTTATGAAGGTGTACATGGTGTTCTTTATGAAGGTATACATATCGTTCTTTATGATGGTATTCATGGTGATCTTTATGAAGGTGTAAACGGCGTTCTTTATGAAGGTGTACACGGTGTTCTTTATGAAGATGTTTACAGTGATCGTTATGATGGTGTACACGGTGTTCTTTATGAAGGTGTTCATGGTGATCTTTATGAAGGTGTACATGGCGTTCTTTAGGAAGGTGGACACGGATTCTTTATGAAGATGTTTAAAGTGATCTTTATGAAGGTGTACAAGGTGTTCTTTATGAAGGTGTTCATGGTGTTCTTTATGAAGGTGTTCATGGTGATCTTTATGAAGGTGTACACAGTGTTCTTTATGAAGGTGTACACTGTGTTCTTTATGAAAATGTACACGGTGTTCTTTATAAAGATGTTTACAGTGATCTTTATGAAGGTGTTCATGGTGTTCTTTATGAAGGTGTTCATGGTGATCTTTATGAAGGTGTACACGGTGTTCTATATGAAGATGTTCATGGTGATCTTTTTGAAGGTGTACACGGTGTTCTTTATGAAGGTGTTCATGGTGTTCTTTATGAAGGTGTACACGGTGTTCTCTATGAAGGTGTACACAGTGATCTTTATGAAGATGTTCATGGTGTTCTTTATAAAGTGTAAATGATGTTCTTTATGAAGGTGTACACGGTGTTCTATATGAAGGTGTACACGCTGTTCTTTATGAAGTGTTCATGGTGATCTTTATGAAGGTGTACATGGTGTTCTTTACGAAGGTGTTTACCTGTTCTTTTTTAAGGTGTTTACGGTGTTCTTTATGAAGGTGTTCATGGTGGTTTTTATGAAGATGTAAACGGTGTTCTATATGAAGGTGGCTACGGTGTTCTTTATGAAGGTGTTCATGGTGTTCTTTATGAAGGTGTTCATGGTGTTCTGTATAAAAGTGTACACGATGTCCTTTATGATGGTGTACACGGTGTTCTTTTTGATGGTGTACACGGTGATCTTTATGAAGGTGTTCATGTGTACATGGTGTTCCTCTATCGCCCGTTTTTAGTCCGCTATCCATCTATCCCTCTGTCGTCCGTCCCTCGTCCGTTGTCCATCTATCCTCCATCCATCCATCCATCCTTCTATTCGTCCGTTAGCACGGATTTGTTAATTATAAATGGCAATCTCAACAACATACATCAATGAAAGTCACATCCTTGACGCGTCAAATTCATCCCATCTATTTCAACTTATGATTAACATATAGTTTCCAAGGGTTCATCAAACATGTTCTCACAGTACAAGTTTCAGATTTCATACGGACATCTTGATGTGAACTGACGTCCAAACGAAACTTTACCAGAGTTTGAAATCACTCTTGCTCAAAAACAACAAAACATACATGCATGAAGTAAAGTGTATTGAGAAGATCAATATGTATCAACATAATCAACACTGAAAATGACAAGCATACCGCGACCGAGAATGACGTCAGAGCCCCCCAAAGTTGGATGTGGTACAAAACTCGAGCTTTCAGAATCACGGACAATAGGCAGAGTACATAAACAATCGCTCACGTTCAAAAACAAGTCATTAGTAGCGTGTGTGACCACCAAATGCCTCAATACACGCAAAAACTCTTCGACGCACAGAAAAAGTCAGTCGTCTGATGAGGTCACGTGGGATTTGACGCTATTCTTCTTGGGGGGCCAAGATCAGTTCTTGTCGGTTGGCTGGAGAGTGTGGTCGTTGTCGAACACGACGATCCATCAAGTCCCAGAGGTGTTCTATGGGGGACATGTCGGGTGAGCGTACAGGCCACGGCAGGACGTTGACGTTGTTGGCTGCGAGGAAGTTAGTGACAATTCTGGCTGTATGGGCTCTAGCGTTGTCATGCTGATAAATGACACCACGTGGCTGCTGTTGGAGAAATGGTAGGACAATTGGACGAGCTGAGCTGAGCTGTCAAGTTTCCGTCAACGATGACCAGCGGTGTCCTCTCCTGCCCACAGATCCCTCCCCACACCATGACACTCCCTCCACCATATGGTACGACCTCCTACACGCAACACGCCGCCGTTCGTTCACCCCTTCGGCGGTAAACACGTTGTCTTCCATCAGCCCTAAACATACAGAATCGACTTTCTTCAGTGAAGACAACCCTCTGCCAGTCACGTCGTTGCCAACGTCGCACAGTCCGGGCCCATCTCAATCGCAGACGACGATGTTGCGCTGTCAATAGCTGTCCTCTGTATGGTCTAAAAGCCCTGATTCCATGAGCTCTGTCGACTGTGACCTAAGGGATTTGTCGCCGATGACGTCACTGTCAGGAAGCGATTTCGGAGGTGCAAGGTACCTGGGTCTGCCTGTTCTTGGCCTGTCAGCGGTCCGCCCTGTCTGTCTGTAACGTTGCATCAAGTTGGTAACGGCAACACGGGAGCAACCGAAGGTTCGTGCAATATGGGCGTGGGTGGCTCCCATCTGTACCATACCCAAGGCTCGTTCACGTTGTTCGACTGTGAGTCGTGGCATTTCTTTTGTGTGTTTTAATCACTGTGGATGTCTGACTTGCCGTTGCAATCGTTTTATACCCTTACCCGCACGTGCATTTGCAGTTGTCCGCGGTGCACGTGTTTTTCACTTTTTCGCGTGTTATCTCGCAAACATGTAACAGACGATTAACATTTTCTGCATACACTATTGTTGTATTTAGGTTATGTGTTTTAGATAGACTTCATCGAAAAAAAATATATACTTTGTCTGAAATTTATATTTTCAGTTGGTAAAGTTTCTTTTGGGCGTCAGTTTATGTTTGGATGAGTGTACTGGAAGTACCAACTCGCGACCAATGAAAGGACACTTTCCATA